ATAGCTTCTTTTGGGAAAAATATATTAAAAAAGAATAGTGAACTCACAAAAACAGAAAATGCATAGCATTTCACTAAATATGTAAACATGTATTTACGAGATTCCTCAAACGTGTCCCGATAGCCGATGGTTCAGAGATGAAATTCTAAGTGATTTAATTTTATGCCCTATACTATTTCTGAGTTCTGCCTTTTAGGCCATCTGTCTAATCTGATGCTAATTAAAAAAAAATTGGATTCTTTACCTTTATTATTTAGGGTTAAAAATGAATACTTTTAAAATATATGCAGTTATTTTCGAATGCAAATGATATCCTTTTTAAAAGCCAAAATAGACAAATTTGCTTATGTTCACATATAATTCTACAAGACTTAAAAAATAAAGTGATATCTCTTAGTTCTCTCTGTGGCCAATTAATATACGGGATGTTAGTGATGACAGGTGGCAGTCTTTATGAACTCCTTATGAGGCTATTAATCTCCCAAAGTCACTAAATGACAGACAAGGAAGAAAAACTGACATGTTTCACATGCTACATGGGAGACAGGCATGAATTTGTCATATATGTAAGAACAGGATGCTTTGCCTTCCTTTCTCATTGTATATTTAGTTGATTTTCTTTCATATAAAAATAAAATATTCACATTTCCTATCTTTATAGACAGCATGAACTATCCACAAATAATTTATAAAAGAAAATCCTAACTAAAATGCAACCTATCGGAGAACAAGCAGGGGTGTATATTGTCAGGTCTCAATAAAAGAAAGATGAGATGGGTGAGGAGACTTATTCCAAGAATCTTCCTTAAAGTTTATCCCAGAAAGAAATGCAGACTCCTGCTGGCGAATGCCTCAAAGTCGTGTGACCAAGTTTTTCTTCTGTTTTTAGATTTTTAAAGACAAATACTACTCCCTAATGGTATTACTACTGAAAACCACCTTGTCTAAGAAAGTATTCCATTTTCAAGAAGATGATGGATTGCATTTAAAAATAATTATAACCCATCATTACCAGTTAGGCTGTATCTGGAGTGCTTCAGTTCAGAGCATAGACTATTAGATCATAAAAAGCATACCATACCAAAGACACTCTTCAAGGCTATGCATAGAAAACATAGAGTATTGCACAATACTGACAAACTGAATATTCTGTTGCATTTTAACAAATGAAGCTAGTCTGTGAGGTGAGCTGGAGACATATGTAGGCAAAGAAGTCACATTTGTCTTAATTATATGTATTCACTTGTAAGAACAGTCCTTAATATGTGATTCCACTACTCAATACAACCTTACGGGAATTCTTTAGCAGTCACCATACACATGTGCTTTAAAAAATTGTAACAAGTCCAGAGTTTTCATGTTAGAGGAGCTTAAAATGTGAGGCTATTTGATCCCATTTTGATAAAGATGCATGATTATTAACACAAAATTTGAAGATACTAATGTGCTTTATGAAGCAGAAAAACATGCCTTTGCCTTATAAGTGATTATATATAAACTTGTCTATTCCTGGTACGTGTAATAATTATTTACTGTCTCCCATAGTTGCCTATGTTATTCTTTAATTAGATCTTGTACATCCAGATTGCTAACTTTGCCCCTAAAAGTGAATCCTATTAACAGTTTGATTTGACTTTCCTACCAGGATAGCCTTGGCAGGTGCCACAAAAATTGTTACTTACGCCCAAGTCCACTTACAATAGGAATTGGTATATGATTCCAGATTGCCTTTGTTATGAAGATTTGGGGCCTTATTGTAATCAAAATACAGAGATACAAAAATTTGCTGATGGAATTTAATTTTGGATTGTTATGGTTAAATTTATAGCAATGACGATGTCCTTCATTTCTTTAAATTTCCTTTCAAAAGAAGTGCTTTCTAAGTTAGTATGCCTGACAGTTAATGACAAAGCAAAGAAGAGAGATTAGAATCCCCACTGGCTTTTTTTCCCATAGATTCTTTTATTGGAAATGCTACTTCATGCTCTATACAAAAAAAAAAAAAAAAAAAAAAAAAAAAAAAACCAAGTTATTTACTTGCCAGGGAGTGGAAAATAAATCCAACAAAAATTCAGGAGGCTTCTTTTAAAAGTTGGCATCATCAAAAGCTATAGCTTTCTTAATATGAAAGTCATTTTTGATAGCAATGTCTTTAGACAAAACCTAAGTAAGTCAGTTTTAAAATCTTTTCAAATAACAAAGTAAACATCAAGCACACATTTGAAGAGTTGAAGTAGAATTATTAACTTGCTCCCTCCTGAAATTAAAGTTTCTGAAACATTTTAAGGAAGTTGTAAGGCCTCCATTTCTCCCAGGAAGCCTGATCAGTCATCACAGTTAACAACATAATTAATGTTTGATATTGACACTTATGTCTTCAAACTGTCTGACTATTTTCTACTATTAGAACAAGTAATATTGGACTTGGGGACCTTTCAAAAGCAGTTAGGAAACTTAGGTTACAAAAGAAGATCCTGGTAGGGGAGTGTGCACAGCTATCACTATCTCTGAGAAAGTATCCTGAATGAGAACAATTTAAAAATCTAACTCATTTAACTGTCTTTCCAACTGCTCTGCATCCCTTATGCTCACTTTAGAAAATGAAAGGAAACCAATATACATTTCAAACACTGAGAAGTACTGAACTTCCCCAGCAGACTCCTGAGGGGCTAACAACAACCCAAGTTCCTCTCTAAGAAGGAAGAGACAATGTTGGAATAATCATTTAATCCTGTGGAATGCTCACAGGCTGGAGATGCCTTCTAGCCTGTCCTAGTGGAGCCACTGCTTATTTTATAAAAGCCCCTGTGTGGAAGCCCTGCTCTTGTGGTGACATTGACTAAGTTCAATGCCATCCATATCAAAGAATATCAGTTAAGAAGGCACAGCCCAAGTTTGTCAGCTGCAACCTGTCATTTACTTGTCCCCCACACCTGTTTTTTGTTTACGAGATTTTATTTGCTTTTTTGCCATTAATAACACACAACGTTTGTTTCTTCTCACACAGTAATTTCTGTTTATTTCTCCAAGAACATTGCCTGTCTTCTTTGTATACCCCAGTGTTTACAGAACCATGGGATACCTCACTAAGTAAAAACCGCCTGTCAATTTGGGAAGGCTATTGCCAGGGTTTTGCCCTCTTCTTCCTCCGAGACTATTTGGATGGGAAGAACTGGCCAGAGCTCATTCCCTCGCTTATGATTGTTGGCTTAAGTGAGTGTTTCTTTTGGCACCCTGTGATACTAGGGGCTCCAAGAGTCTAACAGTGCCAGTCTCGGATATAGTGTGGGGATGGTGGTACCCAGAGACTCAAGCATCCCTTTAGAGGACGGATGCTCTTCCGCACAGACCTCTCGTCTCCCTTCAAACATGCCCCACCCCCGCCCCGAGTGGCCGGCTCCCTCACTGTCCCCTCTTGGTTTGAGGCAGCATCCTCCACTATTTACAAAGGGATCTGTGTGAACTCTCAGGCGCCCTGCTCTGTGTGGGCATCGCAGAAGCATCCTCAAGTAAAGCTACTGGAAACCGACAAACCACCACCGAGATCGCAGAAAGGACCGGGGCAGATCAGAGAGTTGCAGCGGGCACGCCAGCGCCAAGTCCAGCGAGCTGCTTACCTTTCCTCTTGGGCCTCCTCCTCCTCCTCCTCTTGGACTTGCATTTGAGTTGACTGCTTAACCCTCCAGACCCTCTGCCGCTCCCCAGGACGGATGCCATGGCCGGGACCCACCGGGTAGACGGGGAGAGAAGGCTGTCCTCCGGCAAGCTCACCTTTCTCGCTAACGCCGCCGCCGGGAGTATTTCTGCGTTTGCAAATCCGGGAGCAGCCTCACTTTTTAGGACCGAGCACGTCAGCGAAGAACACCCCTCTAATCGCTCTGTCACTCGGTTCCAGGTGGGCTGAGAGCCTCGGATGGATGCCCCGAAAGCAGAGCCTTTCTCTAGGCGGAAAGCGCTGGGAAAGCCTCTCCCGCGCGCCCGAGCGCCCGGAGCTCTCTCTCCTTCCTCTGGGCTCCCAACGCAGGGCTGCTACTTTTGCGCCTCTACGAGTTGTTTGGCACCATCCACTTTGAAGCCAGTCACACAGGGAGCTCGTCTATTTGCTGCCGCAAAGTCTAATTAGATCCAATCACAACTGTCTTCTTGCTCTGACATCAGCACCAGCCCCACCGCTGCCGGTAGCCTGCAAACTCAGCTCCCATTTGGAAGGCTGGAGCTGCCCAGGAAGGAGAGAGGTTGCTCAAAAGGAACACAACCACAGTGGGGCTGGTTTATCTGGAAGAAGCCCAAGGGTGCGGTTTACAGGAGGGTGCCAACCCCGGGACGTCGAAGCTTCTCGCTGTCACAACTCGCTATGCTAGGAAAGACCTGGGACCAATTTCCCAAACCTAAGCAGTTTTTTAACTAGTTAATTTATTATGAAACTCTTGTGTGGAGGGGGAAGGAACTCTCCCAATGGGAGACCTCATCTCAGAAATGCACTGAGATCTGCAATTCCCAAAGAGACCGGTTCTTTAGGGAGTATTTACATCTCTTGGAGGCTGCAAATCTGCCTGTTTGTTTTGGTTGGTTCCCAGCCCCAGGTCCTTTTCCTGTCCCTAAGATTTTCCTTTTGAAATAGAAGGTTGCAAAAGCAGGTGTTAGGATTTCATCCAAATTGTAAAGGGGGGAGTTCCTGGGGTATTTTATTTATTGATCAACTAATTATAGGGGAGAGAGAGGAAGAGTAGGAAGGTGAGGGGAGAAGGAGGGAGATATCTCATGACAAATATAACATTTATATAAAAGAAAATAATATTCATGATGAAGTGGACTGCATATTGAAATCATTTTAAAAATTCTATTTTCAGGGATATCTTGGGTTTCATTCAAGATGACTTATGGAATACTAGAACTCAAGTATAAAATCTAAGGAGGAGTATAGTACAGCAGTCATCATGACATCTTGCATTTAAATCTCATGTTATTAATTATAATAATGGTTTGATAGACTATCCACTCTAAAATTCAGTAGGATGAGTTAATAGGTGGATGTGAAAATTACATAGGGATTTTCTGTTTGATTTCCATACATCTTTTCAAGCACCTGGTAGGCCTTAATATTTCCTGATTGTTTTCCTTACACCAAAAAGAATAATTTCTCTAGGGAACATTGGAATTAATTACGATATATATGAGTTGTTCCATAGTAAGCTGATCGATCACAGCTCAGTTTTCACTGATGACAGATAGGCAGAGATACTTGATTACGAATCCTGATTCCATAGCTGTGATTTGGGATAATTTACATAAATTCTACCTCAGTTTCCACAGCTGTGAAATGGACACACCCTTGACAGCTGCTGCATGGGAACACTCATACTTTTCAGTCAGTATAAATACCAAGTGGTACACAGAAATCACTCTGTGATTATTTATTAGATGGATCCTGAAGATCATTTTGAGAGAATCCTATAAGCAGGCCGCTGAGATACAGAATTAGTGGGTTCTTTTCCTTCTAGATCATTTACCTCACTGGCTCATTTCAAATCGATCAGTCAATCGTACAGTCAAACCAGCTTCTTTCTTTTGGGCTGGGCTCAGCGTTTCCATTCGACCAGCATCAGAGCTTAGTGCTGCTGATGGTTTCAAGTGAAACCATGGCTTTCCTCACTTAGCCAGCAGTACAAAAGGTACTGAGATTTTGTGGCAGGCCAATGAGAATTTTTATAATATTTAGGCTTTGTGATGTAGTTTGAAAAGAGCAAACATGATACGAATTATGAAACATCAGGCAGAACAAACAAGCAAACAAAGAAACAAACAAAAAACCCCACTTCTGCCCCAAGCTCAGGGACTGTGCAGCGAGGAACTAGAAAATGTCATGAGGTGGACATAATAGGACACAAGCACATTCATCATGCAAAATAACTGGGGCATTACAGTACTTATCAAAGGGGAAATTCATGGGGTTCTATGAATGAGTGCAACTGGGAAGGCATAAGGTGACCTTGACTGTAGAAATGGTTTCTTGGCACAAACACGGCCACTGTGCTCATCAGATTTGGTCAACCTGACACCCATTAGAGAAGGGAACCTTAGTTTAGGAACTTCCTCCATCAGATTGGCTTGTGGCCATATCTGTGGGGCATTTTCTTTACTGATGATTGATGTACGAGGGCTCAACTGACTGTGGGCTGTGCCATTCCTAGGCAGGTGGTCTGGGTTGTATAAGAACAAAGTAACTGAACAAATCAGAGGAAGTTAGCCAGTAAGCAGCAGTCCCCAGTGGTCTCTGCTTCAGTGATTGCCTTGAGTTCCTCCTGCCTTCCCTCGATGATGGGCTGTGAGCTCTAAGCCAAATAAACCCTTCCTCCTCCAAGATGATTTTGGTCACTGTTCTATCACAGTGGAGAAGCAAGCTAGAACAGGAACAAATGGCAAGGCGGCACTGTATGCCTTAAATTTGCCAGGGTTAATTTCAGCATTTCAACCATATTCAGAAATACAGCTGTAGGAGTTTACCTGAGAAACTTCTGTGCTCCACAAAATGTACCTGCCTCGGTATAAAGATGCCCTACATATGCACCTGCAGAAAACCTATTGCTGGGTTGAGTCACCAAGGGCAGATATTTCAGAAAACACTACACACATGTATCCCACCACTACTGGGTTATTGACATTTGTTAGTGGCCCTCTTATATAACCCCATCATCACATCAAGCAGAGATGCTCCCTCTGAGACTCATATACACTGACCCTTGTTCTGCTAGGACAGTAAGTAAGGGAGGCAGAAGGAAGAATCTCTTAAGTTTTTTTTCTTCTGTAAGTGAGGTGGGGTATGTGAACAGTTTACAACCCATGCTAAACATCAATAATGTCAAAATCTTGGCAAATATATGCTTTTCTTGAAGTTCATCAATTATTTTGTATATAATCTATACAGTTGTTTACAGTGATATATGCTGTTTTCTGTATTTTGTTTTGTGTGTGATGATGCATCATAGATGGTGCATAGTCTTTTAGTAAGGACAGGGTAGCAAAAGTGGATATCCCCAGACTAGGAGCAGAAGTCCTTCCCAATGACAAATGTTTATACTCAAGCATAGCTCCTAATAGGTTTCAGTTTGTTATTGCCAGCAGGGCTTAAAGTGAGCAGTGTTGACAACCTGCCACTCTGCTGATGAGTCCTTTTGCTTTTTGTCTTTTCCTTGGATCACATGAGCACAGCTTGGCAGTCTGAGATGATGAAGAGCAGCTGGAAGCGACTTCGGGATCAGGAGCCAATCTCAGCCCACTGCCCAGCAAGAGACATCATTGATGTGTCCTATGCTAATTGTCCTCAGTCCCCATTCTTTCCACAGAACAGAGAACTAGCAGAGAGTGTCCAAGGATCAACTAGACTGGCCAAAAAGCTAACTACACTCCGGTATGCACTTATCAGCTGGAAAGCTGGATGAAGAACAGAAAGGTTGGGGGGCACCATGTTGCCTCTCTGTCCTCATACCCAAGAGGCACACTCACTGCTAAGGAAGGAATTTCTACAACCAAGGCCAACTTGGATCTTACCAGTTATACTCATTCATAACACTCCATGAATTCTCAGCATCACTCTTATAAGTACCATAATATTCCAACTACTTTTCATGATAGAATTTACTTCTTTCTTTAATGTCTTTTTTTATAATAGCCAAATCATATCTCCAGCTCACTATTGTGTTACTCCTGAGCCTGGAGCATAAATTTGTGTGGGTTGTGGGTTTGTTTAGTGTGCGTGTGTGTATGTGTGTGTGTGTGTGTGTGTGTGTGTATGTGTGTGTGCTGCATCCTAACATTTAAGCCATAGCCAAAGTCTCTCATTGAATTCACATAAGATCTTGGAGAACAGAATGAAATTATACTCATTTTATAGATGAGGACACTGGGGCTCAGAGTAATTAAGAAACACTTCAAAGTTCATATGCATATTTGGTCAGAGGACATACTCAGTGCCTCAGCTGGGGTCTTTTATTATTATGCTGTACTGGTGATTTTTATTCTAGAGTCTGAGATCAATTTACTTTTGGAACCTTGTGAGGTAGGAGAAAATATTTATAGAGAAAAGGAGGAATTGACTATCCACACTGGCCATGATTTCTATTATTACTAAATGCAACATGAATGCCCTTGCCTGTGTTTAATTACTCTCACACACAAAGATTATCTGTCTTTCCTCAAAATAAATCTACACTGTGGAAAGGAAGCCATTTTAGATCATGGAGAAACAACAGCTGAATAGACTTTTTGAATATAGTCCATAAAGTATATGCATCAGTGTATGGCGCAATACATAAGATCTGATGGGGGGATGGGGGAGACATGGATGGGAGAGGGGATCTAAATTTGATAAAGAACCATTGTATGAAATCACAAAAGCTCAATAAAAATAATAAAATCAATACATATCAGAAATTCTATAGACTCAGAACTGACATGACCTTCAGCGTAGGACTGTAAGAGAGCCAAGGCACACAGGTCCTGCAGTCTACCACACAGATGACATCTTCAAACCCATTCTCAAGTCCTCTCACTCCCATTATGAGTTGTTTTCCTTGGATTCCTTCTTCTGTATAAAATCATCTACATACATCCTGGGGCCTAATGGTTCATCTCAACCAATAATGGCCTGCTGCATTTGTTTATATATTTGATTGCACATATGAATTGAACAAATTAAAGTCTTCATTATGACATCACCTTACATCTATATATAAACATGCATGTGAGTATGTATAAGACATTTTAATAATGTTCATCTCTTATATTACTTTCTAACATTCCTCCCCCTTTTCCCTCCCCTTTAACATCTCTAACAGACCTCCTTTCATGTTTCCATAGATGAGAGAAAATATGTGAAAATTGTCTTTGTGGGTCTAGCCTATTTGACACAATATGGCAATCTCCAGTTCCACCCATCCATTTTTCTGAAAATTAAATAATTGTGCTATTCATTATGGTGGGGTAAAACTCCATGGAATGTATACACACACACACACACACACACACATACATTTTATAAGGTGTATAATTTAATTATAAATTACATGAGATCT